AAAACATATAGGCGTTTAAAAACAGAGGCCTAAAATACATGCAGTAAAAACTGATAGAATTGAAGGGAGAAATAGATAATTCAGGAAGAGTTGTTGTAGACTTTAGTACCCTGCTCATAATGAGGGATAAAACTAGACAAGAAATCAACAGAAAACCGAATATTTGAACAACACCATAATCCAACCAGACCCAACAGACATCAATAGAACACTCTACCCAACAATGGGGGAACACGTCCTGCTCTCAGGAGCACATGGAACATTCTCCAGCATAGACCATTTTTTAGGCCATAAAACAAGTCTCAATAAATTTAGAAGGACTGAAATTACACAAAGCATGTTCTATGACCACAAATTAGAACTAACAAAAAATTAAAACTTAGAAATCAATAACAGAAGGAAAGTTGGGAAATCCACAAATGGGGGGGGAATTAAAAACACACTTCTGAATAACCAGTGGGGCAAAGAAGAAATCACAAGGGAAATTAGAAAATACTCTGAGCTGAATGAAAATGAATACACTATGTATCAAAACTTATAGGATGCAGTAAAAGCAGTGTTTCGAGGGAAATTTATAGCAAGTAAACTCCCATATTTAAAAAGAAAAAAAAGATCTAAAATCAATAACTCTAACTTCCAAATTAAGAAATCAGGAAAAGAAGAGCAAATTAAACTCAAAACAAGCAGAAGAGAGGCAATGATAAAGATTAAAGCAGAAATAAATGAAATACAGACTAGAAAATAAAGAAAGAAAATCAACAGTTGGTTCTTTGAAAAGATTTAAAAAGTTGACAAACCTTTAGCTGGACCGACCAAGAGAAAAAGAGGATTCAAATTACTAAAATCAGGAGTGAAAACTGGGACATTGCTACTGACCCTACAAAAATCAAAAGGCTTATAAGGGAATATCATGAACAGTTATACGTGTTGGAGGAGGTACTTGAGAGGACGCGATCGCCGGCTGACGCATGAGCTAGACCTGGGTAATTGGAAGCACCTCACCCTCTCCCTTGTCCTTGGAATGTGTGTTCCACTTGCCTTCTCCATGCTAGAAGTTTCCCAAGGACGCAGCCTTGAGAGAGTAATGTGTTGTTGAGACCACCTGGACGGTATACGTGACTGAGCCCAGTTGAGGCCTCTTTATAAACTTTTAAGATTCTAGAGGACAGGTGCGGAGAGTTACTCATCTTGCAGCTGCCCAAGACAAGCCCTTGCTCATAAAACTGCCACCTACCAATCAGGAGTGGTCTGCCTCTTTCTTCAGTCTCTCCCTGACCTCCAAGTATGGGACTCCAGTTTCAGATTACACCTGGGATGCTCCTGAGGTTTCAACCCAACAGTACACCAAAAAATTAGATAATCTAGATGAAATGGACAAATTCCAAGAAAGATACAATCTACTAAAGCTGATTCAAGAAGAAATAGGAAATCCGAATAAACCGGTGATAAGGAAGAGGTTGAGTTAGTAATTTAAGAACTTCCCACAAAGTAAAGTTCATGCCCAAATGACTTCACTGGTGAGTTCTATCAAATATTTAAAGAACAATTAAATCAATCCTTCACAACCTCTTCCAAAAAATAGAAGAGGAGGGAACACTCCCCAGCTCATTCTATGAAGCCATATCACCCTTACCAAAACCAGACAAACATATCACAAGAAATTAAAACTACAGACCAATACTCCTTATGATCATAGACACAAATGTCCTTCACAAAATACTAGCAAACTGAATACAGCAGGACCTAATAAAGGAGAATATACTCTGAACAAGTGAGATTTATCCCAGACATGAAAAGTTGGTTTAAGATAAGAAAAATCAATCAATACAGCATATCATATCAATAAAATAAAGGACTAAAACCACATGCTATATCAGTAGACTCAGAAAAAGCACTTAACAAAATCTTACACCATTTTTTTTAAAGATTTTATTTTTTTCCTTTTTCTCCCCAAAGCCCCCAGGTACATAGTTGTATATTCTTCATTGTGGGTCCTTCTAGTTGTGGCATGTGGGACGCTGCCTCAGCGTGGTTTGATGAGCAGTGCCATGTCTGCGCCCAGGATTCGAACCAACGAAACACTGGGCCACCTGCAGCGGAGTGCACGAACTTAAGCACTCGGCCATGGGGCCAGCCCCAATCTTACACCATTTTAATAGGTAAAAAGAAAAAACCCTCAACAAACTAAGATTAGAAGATGCCCTGGTGAAGAGCATCCACAGCAAACCCACAACTACTGTCATACTCAATGGGGAGAGACTGAAAGGTGTCCTCTGAAGATCGGGAATAAGACAAAGATGAATGCTCTCTACTTCTATTCAATATTGTACTGGAGGACCTGGCCAGGGTAGTTAGGCAGGAAAAAGACATGAAAGGCATCCAGACTGGAAAAGAAGAAGTAAAACTGTCTCTGTTCTCAGATGACATGACCCTATACAGAGAAAATAATAAGGAATCCACAAAAATCTATTAGAACTAGAAAATAATTTCAACAAGGTTGCAGGATACAAGATAAATATACTGAAATCAGTTCTATTTCTATACACTAGCAATGAACAACCTGAAAATGAAATTAAGAAAAATTTCTTTTACAATAGCATCAAAAAATAAAATACTCAGGGGCCGGCCTGTGGCTCAGTGGTTAAGTTTGTGTGCTCTGCTTCGGCAAAACCCTGGGTCACCAAAGCAAAGCGTGTGAACTTAACCACTGAGCCCCTGGCCAGCCCCCTGAGCTGGCTTTTTTTTTGCAGAAACTAATAAGCTGATCCTAATATTCACAACAAAATGCAAGAGATCCAGAATAGCCAAAACAATCTTTAAAAAGAATAAAGTTGAGGCATCACTCACAATTACAAAACTTACTACAAAGCCACACTAATGAAGACAGGGTGGTACTGGGTACTGACACAAGCATAGACACATAGATCAATGGAATAGAAATGAGGGTTCAGAATGAAGCTCTTACATTTATGGTTAATTGATTTTTGATGAGATGCCAAGACAATTAAATGTCAAAAGAATAATCTTTCATACAACTGGATATTCACATATAGAAGAATGAAATTAGACCCTACATCACATCATATACAAAGACTAACGAAAAATGGATCATAGACCTAAATTTAAGAGTTAAAACTATGAAATTCTTGGAAGAAAACATAGGACTAAATCTTCACAATATAAAAGCAAAAGCAACAAAAAGAATAGGTAAATTGGACTTTACCAAAATTAAAAACTTTTGTACTTCAAAGGACATTATGGAGAAAGCAAAAGGACAATTTATAGAATGGGAGAAAATGTTCACAAACCAACTATCTGATAAGGAACTTGTATCCAAAATATATAAAGAATTCTTACAGCTCTACAATAAAAAGGCAAATAACCCAATTTAAAAATGGGTAGAATATTATACAGACATTTCTCCTGAGAAGATATACAAATAGCAAATAAGTGCAAAAAAAGATGCTCAGCATCACCAAGTAGAAAAAAGTTTGGTAGCTCCTCAAAATGTAGAAATATCAATGAGAAACCTCAACTAAACTGGAGTTGGGGAGGCCCGTAAGGGCCTCTCACCCCATCACACACTGTCAATCACACCAACCAGGAAGAGATGGACACTTGCGTCTCCCACAGGAAGATAAACAACTTTACTACTGAAGGAAGATTTCTCTCCCCACCTGGCAACAGCCCAGCCAATGAGAAACACTGCAGCTCAGCCAATGAGAAACGCTTCAGCTCAGCCAATGAGAAATACCACAGCTTAGCCAATGAGAAACGCCACAGCTCAGCCAATGAGAAATACCACAGCTTAGCCAATGAGAAACGCCACAGCTCAGCCAATGAGAAACGCTTCAGCTCAGCCAATGAGAAACACCACAGCTCAGCCAATGAGAAACGCCACAGCTTAGCCAATGAGAAACACCACAGCTCAGCCAATGAGAAACGCCACAGCTCAGCCAATGAGAAATACCACAGCTCAGCCAATGAGAAACGCCACAGCTCAGCCAATGAGAAATGCCACAGCTTAGCCAATGAGAAATGCCACAGCTTAGCCAATGAGAAACACCACAGCTCAGCCAATGAGAAACGCCACAGCTCAGCCAATGAGAAATACCACAGCTCAGCCAAAGAGAAACGCCACAGCTCAACCAATGAGAAATGCCACAGCTTAGCCAATGAGAAATGCCACAGCTTAGCCAATGAGAAACACCACAGCTCAGCCAATGAGAACTGCTTCAGCTCAGCCAATCAGAAATGCCACAGCTCAGCCAATGAGAAGTGCTTCAGCTCAGCCAACGAGAAATGCTTCAGCTCAGCCAATGAGAAGCGCTGCAGCTCAGCCAATGAGAAGCCATTCCCTCCCTCTCCCCCTTTTTCTCTATAAAAACAGCTTCCCTCCTTTGTTCTGTGGATTTGCCTACAGGTTGCCATAACATGTTCTCTGTGAGTTCTAATTCTTTTGGCTGTTCTCTAATAACCTCATTTTGAGATAAAATAGGCAAATTTGCTTTTTAAGTTGTCGCTTGTAAAACAGTTGCCCTTTTGGCCCAGTCCATACGTTTGCCCCCATCCAAGGTTCAAGACAGCAAAGTCCAAGAGCAGTCTAAGAACTAGTCAAAGAGCTGTTTCTCTGGAAAGGCCGCTCAGACTCCATTTTCAAGTGGCTCCACTGGAGGCAATTTTGACAGTGTTGAGCCCAAAGGCCGCATTCCCCACCTCACAAGTCGGGGCTCCGGCTCTCTCAGCATCGACCCCCCAGTGGCTTCCCGTCTCCCTCCCCGCTTCTGCCCAAGCTGAGAGCTCCTGGCGAGCGAGTGAGCTGACTGCCCCGAGCCGCGGCTTCCATCGGGGGTGGGAGAAGACCCCGGAGCCGCAGCGAGGACTGGCCCGCGGGGTGCCCGCCGCAGCCCCAGCCCTAACGCTAGGCCGCGGGAGACCGCCAAGGGGCGCTGCTCCGCCGCGGACGCGGGCTCGCTCGGGGCGTGGCCTCAAGCCCCGCCCACCGCCGCCGGGGCGTGCGCGCGTGCGCACTGCGCCTCTTCCCGCAGGGACTCCTGGGCTGCGGGTCGCGGCTGTGCGCCCTGCGGGAGCGGAGCGCTGCTGGAGGATGTGGCGACCGGTGAGCCCCCGCCCGCGCGGCTCCGCGCCCCCTGGCCCGGCCCCCGCAGGCTCGCGGGGGAGTCGGGGCAGCTCTCCGATACCCCGGCCTGTGCGGGTGCGGCGGGCCTGCCGCCAGCGCCCCGGAGCCCGCTCCTCCTCGGAAGCGGGTTCGCGTGGTGGGAGCCTTACCCCCGAGCCGGCCTCTCGGAGCGCCCGCCCCTGCCCTGCCCAGGGCCGGCTCCCCAGGCCACGGACCCCCTTCGCCCTCTCCCGGCCCGTCTGCCGCAGACCCGCGCTCCGGACGGCCGGCACCCGGGCTGGAGGCCCTCCCCGCCTGTCCCTTCACCTGCTCCCCCGAGGGCCCTTCGCCTGGTCACCGGCCCGCCTCCGACCGCCCCGAGCCGCCGCCTGGCCCCCGCCTTTGAGCAGAGGGCTTTGTGGGGTGGACGCGCGGCCGTCTCTGTGGGCTGCCCCGCTCGGAGGCCGCGCCCCCCAGGTCTCGAGAAGCCCCTCTCTGTCAGGCCCCCCTCGACTTCTGCCTGGCCCTCGCTGCCCTCCCAGCGCCTGCTGCTTTGGATCCTGAGAGTGCAGCGGCCTTTCCCGTGGTGTGTTCCGGTCGGGCCTCCCGTTTTGCGGCATCTCTGCAGTTAGCATGGGCACCTTCCAAACCAGGTGTCCTCATCAGGGGCCCAGATCCTACCCACTCGCTCCCCAAGAATCTAGCCCTTTCCTCATAGGTTTCGAGCTAGAGAGGCTGGTGGGGGTTCATCAGCATTTTCAGCTTGGAGTCTTCTGCAGAGTTTGTGTTTTCCTAGTAAGCCTCTCGTGGATCCAGATATTAACAGTACAGACGAATTTCCACGAACTCTCGTGGTTATCAGGGAGCAGCTCCATTGCACAGGGGCGTTCTCTGAGCTGAGATGGTGAAGCTGGGTTAGTCTAAGAGTCAGGCAGAGAGCCACCGGGTCGGCCGTTAGTACAGCACTTTACAGTTTATAAAGCTTCTTCGAATACTGAGGTCACTTCATCCTCCAGAGAACTTGGGGAGTGGACAGGCAGGTTTTAGCCCCTGATTAGGAGCTGCTCATAACTAGTCAGTGGAGTGGGCCAGGTAGGCTTCTGAGTCCTGGCTGGTGTTGAGAGGGTCACAGACCCTTGGGACAGAAAGGGGCAGGGCGCCCTAGTCATGGTCCCCAGACCACCGCTCCTGGGCCCGATTCCCAGTCTGCCGCTTGCTAACCATGAGAACATTTCTGTGCCTTGGTCTCCTTTCCTGCTGAGGTGCGTGGGGCTGCTGGCCCTGTCATTAAACTGCCCTGGTTCTTGTCACCTCTTTGTACTTTTTCTGTTTCAGGTCTCGTCATGAGACTCAGCAGTTGCTTCTTACTGCTTTGCGTGGTTTGTCCATGCACAGTGACTTTTTGTCTCCCTTCTAATCTGTCTCTAATCCACAGGGTGTTAGAAAAACACACAACTCAGCTTGTCCCTAAAACGTGAGCACGTGCACTCATGGTTCTGTCTTAAAGTACACACAGATTTTGTGAGCGTTGTAATATCTGAGTGTTACTCGGAGCTCTTGTTTGCTACTTTATAGGTTGTTAGCTGAGTTGCAGATGAACGCTCTGTGTCTGCAGACAGACTGTGCACACACTGAGAAAGCCTGAGAGGCTGCGCTAGGGGAGGCGCGTCTCATCTTGTCCAGACTGGAAGGCTTTGGGAGTGAGAGGAGTGCTGGGACAACAAGTGTAGACCAGGACGGTCCCAGGCAAGCCAGGGTGTGTGGTCACCCTGGCGCGAAGGCACTGGTGTGCGGGAGAATATCCTGGGGACCGGCTTCTCTCTGTACCTGTTTCCCAGCATGCTCTGGTGCTGAAGCCTTGGGTGTGGTTTGGGTTATATGTGATGTGGTGGAAATTGCCCTGGACTATTTCCTGGAAGGTCTGGCTGCAGACTCTGCCTCACATTTATAGCCATGTGACCTCTTTGGGCTTTGGGGATGTCTCCTGTGTGATGGGGATAGTTTGGGGAGCACTGAACATCCCAGACTGGAAGGAACCAGGCACTTGAACAGCCCTGTGGGCCCTGATCGGGGTTCTGTGGCCTCCTCCTTGGAGTCCTGTTCCGAGCCAGGCTGCTGCCATCTCTTGCCTGACTGTAGCCTTTGCCCCTTGCTCAGCTTGCACTTTCACTTGGGCCATGGGGGGTCCTGGTTTTTCTGTGCTTAGCCACCATTTGTCTCAATTCAGCAAGCATTCATGAAGTTTCTACCTCACCTAGCAAAGCACCGTGCTGGATCCTAGAAGTACAGAGGTGATTGAGAGGAGGGCCTTACTCAGTCTGGGGGGGAGACAGACCGTAAACTAGCAGTCACACGCCTGTGGGACCAGGACGTTGAGAGAGGTATATACAAGGTGCAGGAGTGAGGGGAGTGTGGCGAGACAGGAGTGGTGCGAATCCGGTTGGGGCGAAGGGCATCCCAGACAGGACAGCAGCCTGGAGAACAAGCCTGGGCCTGGCTCTGCTTGGGGTGTCCAGGATCTACCAGAGAGATCTTTGCCAGGGAGCGTGAGTGAGGATTCAGTGCTGGGAGATGAGTCGGGGAATGAGATGCAGCTGGAGCTCCGACTGCAATGGCGGTTCCTAAGAAAACAGCAGAGAACTCTTACTAGGGACTGTGGTCAGGAGCCAGCTGTTACTTCTCTGGCCTCACCCGGTCTGAGCCTCTGTACACGGAGTACTTGGCACTGTGTCGACCAGGTGCCCAGAGGCTGTGGACTCTGGTCCTCAGCTTCCCCAGCAGAGCTCCTGACAGTGGTGGGCAGTTGTCAGGAGGCTGGGGGCGCAGCCAGGTTCTCATGCTGTAGTGTAAAATAATTGAGATTTAGCATTCTCCTCTGTAAAAGAACCGTATGTTTTGACATGAAGATGATGTTTACAGTTATTTGTTAGATAACTTGACTTTTTCTCATGAAACCCTTGCTTATCAATGGCTCTCGGGGACAATGTGCTCTGCTCTGTGGCTGTCAGACCCTCCACCTTGAGGGATTTCACTGCACGCCAGTTTGGGAATGTTCTGTGCTTAGCCACCGTTTGTCTCAATTCAGTGTCAACCGCGGAAGCAGTTAGACTCGGGTTCCACTCCCAGCTTTGCCAGGAGTTTTAGCTGTGGATCACGTGAGAAAGTAAGTGTGGCAGTCGCCGCTGTAGGTAATGCCCACCTTTTGTTGAGTACCTGTCATGTGTGGGCCCTGGGGGAGGTCCTGTATTTCCACCACCTCTCACCTTTCCAGCCTTGCAGGTGGACACTGTTACCTCCTGTTTGCAGACGAAAGGTGTCGGAGAAGGGCAGCAGCCAGGTACAGGGTGAGGGGTGGAGGGACGTGCAGCCCAGGCCTGTCCAGCAGGGGCTCTGCACTCGGGGGGTTCTGCCTTGCTCCGCGGCACCCCATCAGCGCAAGGGTGCTTTGCGTTATGCACCGTCCGTACGTTCTGTGCCGTTACACTGGGGCCACCAGAAAACCTCAGGGGCCACTACTGGTTGGTGCCTGGCCAGGGCTGGGCTGCATACACCTCTCCTTTGGGGGTGCGTCCTCACTGTGCACCCCTCCGGGTCTCCCTAAGGGACCGTGGGCCTTCTCCAGGTGGCGAGCCCTCTCTCAGGGGCGCCCTCCTCACTCGCAGTCTTCTGCCGTCTCTAAGTCAGACATACCCGGAGCACATGTGTGGCTCCCTCCTGCTCAGCCCTCATGGGTATCCGGGGAGTCGTGAGAGGCTGGTTCAGCCCGTAGTCTTGGGGCAGCTGTGCTTGGTCCCGAGCATGTTATGTTCCCTGCCAGCCCTCGCTTCAGCGTTGGCGCGCACAGCCTCTGAATCGTGAGGCCCTGTACTCTACTCCTAAGTCGTGGATCTTTCCTTTCCTTCTGGATGCTAACGATACAAAATAATTATTGTCTGTCAGCCTTGGCCTTGTTCCTTGTTCCCTGCAGTGGTGCAGCTTCTGAGTCAGTGAGCCCCGTTGCAACTTTGCAGCAAACCCTACTTTGCTGCCCTTTCAACGCTGCTGAAAGTAGGGGGCAAGTTGTTGGGAGGAGGGTAAGGGCATTGGGGACCAGCAGACGGCTTGGCACAGTGAGGAGGAGGAGGGCCTGGGGGAGACTAGTGGCTCCTTGACCCCAGGGTGACCCCAGCATGCACCTCTGCACACACTCCACAGTGCTTGTGTGGGCGGGCACCGCGCCAATGGCTTTGCAAATGTCAGTTCACCTGCTCTGGACTTTAACAGTGCAGCGGTACCTGATTTATAGACAGGGAAACTGAGGCCCAGAGAGGGAGATAACTGACCCATGCTGCGTGGCTGGTAAGTGCTGGAGCCCAGATTCCAGTTCCAGCCTGAGAAGTCTGGGTCCAGAGTCTGCCCCGCTTTCTCAGCCTCTGCTCTACCTGAGTCTCCGGGGTGGGGTTGTCCTGGGCACTGACATGTTGAGCAGCGTCCCTCGCCTCTGTCCACTCGATGCCAGGAGCACCCCTTCCCCCAAGCTGTGACAACTGAGAGTGTCTCTAGACAGAACCAGATGTCCTGGCACAGGACCGCTCCAGATGAGGCCCCTGCCCTGCCCTCGCTGCCTCATCTCTGAAATGCCACCTTTCTGGTTGTGTCTTTTTTTTTTTCTTAAGATTTTATTTTTTTTTTCCTTTTTCTCCCCAAAGCCCCCTGGTACATAGTTGTATATTCCAAGTTGTGGGTCCTTCTAGTTGTGGCATGTGGGACGCTGCCTCAGCGTGGTTGGATGAGCAGTGCCATGTCCGCGCCCAGGATTCGAACCAACGAAACACTGGGCCGCCTGCAGCGGAGTGCGCGAACTCAACCACTCGGCCACGGGGCCAGCCCCTGGTTGTGTCTTTGAGTAGCGTAGCAGATACTTGCCACCTCTGATTATGAAAACCTTTAAATACAAGGACAAGTTGACAGAGTGGTATCAGATATTTAATAATCCAGATACCCACTGCCTAGATCTATCCATTATTAATATCTTGCCCTGCTTGTTTCTGTTTCTATTTGAAGGTATATATTGTGTTGTCATTGGACCATTTGAAAGTAAGTTACAGACATTTTGACACATAATCTGTAAACACTTCAACATGCATCCCCTAAACAAGGACATTCTCTTGTGTAGTCATGGTAAATTTATGGTGCCTAAAATACTAACAGTGACTCCCTAACCTGTGCTGTCCATATTCAGACCTGTCTGTTGTCCCAGAAGTGTGTGTTGTAAATGCTTCCTTTCCGATTGGGGTCTGGTCAAGGTTCGTGCTTTGCACTTGACATTGGTCTGTCTAGCCTCCTAATCTACAACAGTCCTCCTACTTTTTTTCCCCCATAACTTGTTAACTTCTTGTTATGAAAAATTGCAAATATTTACAGAAGTAGAGAGAATTGATAAATGACTATGCCCAGCACCAGTAGTTCCCAACTCATGGGTCCTATTGACTTCTTCCTGAAGGGGCCAGGCCATTGTTTGGAGAATGTCCCGCGCTCGGGATCTGCTTGTTGGAGTGTTCTCAGGGTCACTGATAAGGAATGTTGAGCACCGGTGGCCGGCAGCTGGCAGCTGTTGTCGGTTCTGATTCAGTGGGCTTGTGGTCTTGCCCAGATCAGAGTCACAACAGAATCCTCACTGGCCAGAGGAGCAGGCAGCTGGTGTAGACGGCCTCGAGGCACTCCTGGCTCTCAGGTGCCAGCCTTGGTCATCTTGCTCAGCTCCTCACGCTTGCCCTGCATCCGCTTAACTCCGTCACCCAGCCACCCTCCCTGGGCCATGGCTCTGCCCAGGGCTCCAGCCCCCTCTGAGTGGACACTTGCCCCCCGCCCCCCAGTGACCTCCACAACACATCACCCCTCCCCGCGGGAACCTCCGGGGCCCCGGCTGGCTGCAGCTCACTTTGCTGCCCACCTTTTCCTTTGGGGCAGCCACCACTCCCCTTCCTGAGCACACATTATGTCTCTAGCCACACAGGCCTGGCTCCTGCTCGGAAACGCCCTGTGCTCTCCTGGGTTCAGGCCTTCACTGATGCCATGCCCTCTGCCTAGAAGACCCTCCCCAGCGTCCACGTGGAAGTCCTGCTTGCTGCCAGGTCGCAGGATCCCTCCCTCCCTCAAGCCCCGTGCTGTCCTGGTGGCCCTGTGGCTCTGTCTGCCTCTATATGTGGTCCCTGGTCACACACAGAAACCACCAGCCCCTGGTCCTCGCAGGCAGGGTTGCTTGCTGGGCGTGTATGGTAGGAGATGTGGAATTGGGTGAGGAGTGCAGGGCAGAGTCTGGAGACCTCCTCGCAGAGAACAGGCAGGGTCTGGACAGAGCTTGGGCAGAGTTACCTCTGGGGGAGGGGCAGGCAGGGCTGAGCCCTCCTGGCACAGCTGCTTGTTGTCACAAACCCTTGTGTGATGTAAGGTGGGAGGTAGTCGGGATCTCGGCCTGGAACGAGCCATCCTGCAGGCGCTGACTAATGTTCTGAGCCGCTGTCCACCACCTGTGGTCACAGGTGCCTGTTCACCGGCCTCCTCTTCTACTGTGGCCAGGTCAGGTGTGTGGACCAGCAGGGCAGCAGGGTGGGTGGCTCCTCTTGCACAGGAGGCTGGAGCTGTGGACCCCTGGGTCTCTGCCTGCTGCTGGCCCCCACCTCCTGTCTGCCTGTGGCTGCCTCTCTTGCCTCTGGATGGTTTTCCTTGAGGATCTGTACTCGCTGCGTGTGGCCTTGCTGAGCAGAGGTTTACTGTCAGCCCTTGTTCTCCTCTTGGGACAATAGGTCATGGACCTTTTCCTCTGACTTTTGCGTTGTTTTGGAGTCCTTGAAATTGTCTTCAGGGCTGCACACTTTGGCCAGAAAGTGATTGGAAAGTCAGGTCCTTATTTGACCCGGTGTTCACAAGAATAACGTTAACATCAGTGCCGCGGGTTATGACTTACTAGGCACAATCTTTTTTCTCTAAAAACTAAGCATTTATGGTTGGGGAATTTGTGCTTGAGGAGCTCGTAAGACCTCATAATTCAAATAGGATTGGGAGACCGAGGTTGCCAGTTTGCTCGGGAGAGCTGTGACATTGCCCTGGTCGCTAAGATAGGGCAGCACACTGTGCGGAGTCACCCTGGTACTTTGCTTCTCAGGTCCTGCTGGCTGTGGCACGTCGTCCGCTCGGCCTTCCCCCCGCGTCTCCAGGCAGAAGCTTTCCCGGGCTCCACCTCTAGGGTCTTAGTGTGTCGAAGTTCCTGTGCCTTCATTTGCTTTGAGAACAACCGCCTGCACGAGGGGTGTCTTTCCTGCACCCGTTCTTCCACCTTAGCGTCTGACATCTTCTTTCTGAATGTGTGATTAAGCATTCTGACATTCTCTTTGGAAACGCAGAGTGCCTTTCCGAGGCTGCTGGGCAGTGGTCTCAGCAGCAGGAAATAGTAAAGGATAGGGTCCCAGTAGAGTGGCAGGGGCAGGGACCAAGGGGACATTCAAAGGCAGGGTAGTTCTAATGGCCTGTTGAGGTGTGTCTGAGGCAGAAGCTCCTGGTGCAAACTGTGTGTAGCCTTCTCTTATGTGACACTTTGACCTCAACCTTGCTCTCAACAGGTGGAATTGTCTTGCATTGCTGAGTCAGACCTGTGGGCCTGGCCCCACGCATGGGCTGCGGGAAGCACTGACCTTCTTTGATGACGTATTTGGGCGGAGGGTGGCGAGAGGTGCAGCTTGCCCCTCAGATGCATGCCTTTGTGGATGCCGGGGAGCAGAAGGTGTGTTCTTGCCTCGTCTGACCCCTGCTGTTTGCTCACTTTGCAGTCACAACTTTGCCACTTCCACTCTGCTCTGCTGCAGAGCGGGCTGAAGCCCTGGCCGTCCCCTGCTGCCTTCTTCAGGAGAAACCTCTGGGTCTCGCCTGCAAGGTGGTGAGTTCTCCACAGCCACAGGCACCCTTCCGGGCGTGTGCTTCTCAGCAGGCAGGCATGGATGACCTCTGCTCTGAGGCCCCAGGCTGGACCTTCTCTGAACCCCCACCCTCAAGACAGGATGCGTTCGCTTCTCAGTGCGGTGCGCTGGGATCCACGACCGCCAGGGTTCTGACCTGGGACTGGAGTTTCAGGGGCGGGACCCCCTGACAGCACCATCGTGAGCAGATGGCAGCTGGAGCCGTGCACTCCCAAGAAGACAGTGATGGGTTCAGAGTGCAGGAGGGTGGGACTGCTGCATGTGGGGCCAAAACGGGGTAGGAGCAGCAAGCAACGCAGGGAGGAGGGCCCAAGGCCTGCAGGCAGTGGGCAGGATGGGGCGGTAGTGAGGGGGGAGGCGGCTGGAGCGAGGCTCAGGCCTGGCAGAGCCGCGGGCCGGGAGTCGCCCAGGTGCTCCCTCACTGCTTGCCGACCAGGGCGCAGACACGTGACTGGATGCTGGGGCGCCTGCTGGATTCAGCTCCCACTGGGTTCAGCATGTGTGGGGCTCCTACTGGACTCCTTGTCTTGAGCTCTCACCTTATTCAGTGTGTGTTATCTATGTCTTACCCGGGCTCTGCTCTCTTGACACTTGTAGTCCAGTTGGGCCGTCAGCGAGGTGGACGGTGGTTGTAACCCTGTATAGTATAGGTGGCCCTGGTCCCATGAGGATCCCAGCCCTGTCCTTGAGCTGCTTCCCATGTAGCTGAGGAGCCAGTTTCTGCATCCACTGGCCCCTTGGAGTCTGGTGTCTGGGGTGTCTGTGGGGCTCAGGCAAGGCGACTTGGACACGGTGGTCAGAGAGCACTATGCTGACCACACATGTGCCTGGAACTGATGTCACCTGCAGAGGCTCCTGACGCAGCTGCAGCATCCGTGGGGTTGGCCAGGCTTTGGCCGTGAGTGCTGTGCAAGCTCAAGGGAGCAAATCCTGCAGAACCCAGGCCAGGTGGGGGGCACAGATGGGAACTAACCTGGCTGTACAACTGTCTCCACCAGGTCCTTGAGACCCCAGCCCCTGTGGAAGAAGGCGCTTTCTGCCACGGCGGTGGGGGTGCCCCTGCTCCTGGGAGTCCGCTACTTCATGGCAGAGCCGCAGGAGAAGAGGCGGATGCGGCTCGTGGTAGACGGTGTCGGGCGCTTCAGCAGGTAGGAGGGTCCGGGTGGTGTGGCGTGGCTTTCTCCCCTGCTGAGTCCTGTCTCTCAGACACATGGGGCCTCGAGGGGCCTGGGAGGGGCTGCAGGGTTTTGCTGGGAACTTTCAAGCTACCTTCCAGGCATCCTTGTGCTGCCCGGTGGGGCAGCCGAGCATCGCAGGGTCCACACGGGCATAGTGCAGAAGAGCCGTCCTTACTGGCCACAGCCTCCACAGACCCTTGACATCTGCCTTGACCTGTGAAGGGCAGGGGAGGTGAGCCAGTACCTCCCCCACCTCAGACTTCTGCTGGTGGGCAGACAAGCAGCTGCCTCCTCCTCCTCATCTTCCCTCTTGCCCCGCAAGGAGGGTTGGCATCCAGACAGAGAGGTTTAGGGCTAAGAGGGAAGGGCTGCCATCTCACCTTCCCTCCCAGTGGGCTGGACTAGGGGTGGGTGATGTCTGCATATTAACATCAAGGCTGCCTTAAACTAAAGGCGCTTTTCATACTCCTTTGTCTCCCAGTGCAGGATTCTGGGGGGCAGGGGTGATCTTCCTCTTGGAGCAGCGTGGGTCGGCATCCCTGCTCTGGTCAGACCCAGGAACTCCTACAGCCACAAAGTTCTGAGAACCAGCTCTTGGCATTGATGAAGCCTCAATTTACCCAGACCCACTGTTGGGCTGGGAAGTGCACATACATGAGACCTCAGTTAAGGAGGCTGCGGGGGTGGGTGCCCCACTCCACTGGCTCCGGGCACCTGCTCCCTCTTGGCCTAGGTCAGTTTCTCAAAGGAAGGGTTAGGCCTGCAAAGGCCTTCAGACTCTCAACCAGAAGCTTCATTAAGATTTACGCCAGTGGCGGCCCTAGGTGGGCAGGTGACTGAATGCTTGACCCCTTCCTGCCTTGTGGACGAAACAAGCACATGACTTCTCAGCTCACTGGTGGCAGTGGCGCCCCTGCTCTGGCTCCCAGGGTGTTCAGTTGATGGGCTTGCCTGGAACTCCTGGTTGCCCTCGGGGCAGGTTCTGGGCAGTGGCCTCTGTGTCCTGCAAGGTTGTCCAGTCTCCATACCCCTGAGGTGGATGAGGGCAGAGCCTGGAGTCGGCTCTGTCTTTTCCGTGACCCTCCACTGTGTAGGACTGTGCAAGACTTGTGGGGACTGTGCCTATGCAACCTGGTTGTGAAATGCACACTTGACAAGTATTGGCTTGTCTCACTTTCTGCTGTTTCCCGTGTTAGATACCCCAGCAGCAGGCTTGGCCTGCCTGCCTTCTCTGCTTCCCTCCTGGGAAAGTTAATTTTCACAGCTTGCTTTAAGAGGCTGAGCTGGGATTGGAGGGAAAGGAGCTAGAACTACTGTTCTCCCAACAGTCTGCACGTTCTTGTCAGCTCGAAGTCCTAACAGTTGCCAGGACGGACAAGCCTGATGGAGCATCCCTGGCTGGGTACAGGGTGACCGCAGGGCCACACAGCATGTCCTGGGTAATGGGGGCCCAGGAAGGAGCACAGTGGGGAGTAAGTCAGGACCAGCTCACCACGCGGAGCTGGCGGCTTGTTCTGTTGCACGAGAGCGGAGATCAGAACACGTCCTGTGTGCCCAGGCTCTCAGAGATGGGGTGGCGGAAGGTTTGCATCAGGGCCCTGGCTTCCTTCGTCCTTATTTAATTTTAATTTTTAAATCTCTGTGGGCTTTGCCTTTTTTTTTTTTTTTTTGACACAATTTCAAATGTTCAGAAAAGTTGCAAGAATAATACAAAGGAACTTTTTTCTTCTTGAAACATTTGCAAATAAGTTGTCAACGTGCTCCATTATCCCTGAAATCTTGAGTGTATTTCCTAAGCAAGGACATTCTCCTCCATAACCGTAATCAAGAACCATCCATTATGTCCCTGTAACCCTCAGACCCCATTTGTGTGTAACCAGGTGCCCCAGCAACAACCTTTTTAATACAAGGATCTGGTCCAGGGTTCACGTCTAACCTCCCCCAGTCTGGAGCAGTTCCCCAGTGCCCCCCGACTCTCATAGCTAAACTTGAGGTCCAGGCCTGGTCTCCCAGACCCCCACATCTGCCTAGGACTTCTGACAACAGCTGCAAGTTCTGGGGGCCCAGCAGGCTGTGTCACTTCAAACCACTCGCTACAAATTAGGGGGTCCCCACAGACTCCTTCAGTTTTTGATAGTTCCCCAGGACGACTCACAGAACTCAGGAAGTGCTATGCTTGCGATTACGGTGCTGTTATAGCAAAAGGGCACCAGCCAAAGGAAGAGATGTGCAGGGTGCGTTCCGGGAGGATCCCAAACTCAGACTTTCCACGTCCTCATTCTCCTTACCCTCCTGTCGTCGATGTGACAGTCCATTTGGATTAGCCCCCCAAGCTTCGGTGTCCAGAGTTTCTGTTAGGGTTTCATTACGTGGGCACAAATGACTGAGTCATCAGTTTCATAATTGAACTGTCTCCAGTCCCCCATCCTCCCTGGTTTGGCTGATACCACTTGGCTCAGAGCCCCAAAACTCTAATCACACGAGTGGTCTTTCTGGCTGTCAGAGCGCCGTGTTAGCACAGACAGTCAGGGCCCATCATGGATCACAAAACTGCTGTCACTGAAAATGCCACAGATTGAGAGGCCATCTGCCAAGAGCTGGGGCAAAGGCCAGACCTCTCCTCAGGTGAAGGTAATTCTTCACTACACAATGACCTTGACACATTTGGAGGCTTATAGGCCAGTAATACTGCACAAAAGAGGTCAGCAAACTATAGCCAGACATGGCTGCTGCCTGTTTAATAAATGAAGCTTTCTTGGAACCACAGCCACGCCCATCCGCTTACATGAGCCTGTGGCTGCTTCCACTGTAAGGGCAGTGGAGACCGCCTGGCCCATAAAGCCTAAAGTATTTGCTGTCTAACCTTGTAAAGAAAAATCTTGTGACCCCTCTCCTAGAAGGTCCCTCAGTTTGGGTTTGTCTGATCACTCGTAGTTAGATTAAGTTGGTGCGTTTGGGCAGCAATAGCACAGAATTGTGTTCTCTGGTATCTCTGGGGTGGCACATGACTTCCGTTTGTCCTGTTAACTTTTGCCACTTGACTTCCTTGTACCTTGAATTAGGTCAGTGTTCATTCCCATCCCTGCTGTCCACTGGCTTAGTTCCTGCCTATATTTCTTTGGGCATTCATTCTTACTGTGATAGTCACCAAATGGTGTTTTCTAATTCGACTAATTCCTTCCACATTTGTTGATTCGTGTACTACTGTGAGGAGAGATTTCTCCCCATTTATTCATCCCTTCACTTATTCATGTCAGTCTGGACTTGTGGGTTTGTACTTTATTCCATGGGTTGCTCTCTGTTGCTGTCACTATCATTTTTTGCTAAGAATGTTCCAGGTTTGGCTTGTGGGAGCCCCTTCAACCTGGCTTTTGTGACCCTTTTTTATTTTTATTATTTTTTTGTGAGGAAGATTCACCCTGAGCTCACATGCTCTCTTTTTGCCTGAGGAAGATCAGCCCTGAGGTAACATCCATCCCAGTCTTCCTCTATTTCGTATCTGGGATGCCTCCACCGTGTGGCTGATGAGTGGAGTAGGTCCATACCCGGCATCCAAACGCACGAACGCAGGCCGCCAAAGCGGAGCGCGCAGAACTTAACCACTCAGCCACGAGGCCGGCCCCCCTTTTGAAAATTTTTTAATCTCCAACGTTTTATTATAAAAAGCTTCAAAGATACAGCAGAGTTGGAAATGCTCTACAGTGAACCTAGATTTTACCGTTAACTTTTTCAATCCTTTTGACGTGTCTTTTGAGCATTCTATTCCTTCTGGCACACAGGATGCTCCAGGCCCCTCTTGTTCTCTCCCAGCCCTAGAAGCTGCTACTCTCCAGGGAGCCTGGCTCCTAGGGGTGGAGAAAGGTCTCAGGGACCATGACAGGGCGTGCTCGCATCACTCGGGCTGTGTCTGCTTCTGTGGACTAGAGTGAGGGGTGTTTCTGTGTGCACATGTGCGCACTCACCCTTACATGTGCTCATTCCTGTCTCTAGTCATAAATGTCAGCCCTGCATCCACACAGGTGCCTCCCATTGCCAACACGCATTGCCGTCCCCCTCCAACCGGGAGAAACCTGGCTGCCCTCGCCCTTGACTTAGTGACTCACTTGACGAGTTGCGCTGAGCGCAGCCTTCACCCCACTGCCATCACCCCATCACCCCTGGGCAGACCCTGTGTGGACTGAACTATTCAGGAAGGAGGGAGGCCTCCCCTTTGGGCCCCCAGGGAGCTCAGAAACCCTGCTCCTTGCTCACCTGGCCAACACGCGCCCCCTTCTTCAGGCGACACTGTTTGTCCCCTGTGTCAGGCTGGGGGTGAGTGGGACAGACGCAGTCTGTGGAGCTCAGTTTGGCAAGTGTAAGGCATGGGCCGACCTCACTGCTCCAAGACGCCTGATCTCCACAACTCTTGGGAGCAGCATGTGCCCGGCCCGGGCAGCAAACTGTCCGAATCCAGCAGCCTTTTCATTCTGGTCCCTCCTGAGGTGGAGGCGGCGAGGAGCAGGAGACAGCTGAGAGGCAGGACGGAGAGGCTCAGCTTGGACTGGTGGCCCAGGTCCTCTCAGGGCTGTCTTAAGGAGCAGGAGCCACACCCCTGTCAGGAAGGCCCAAGGGTCTGGGGTCTGCAACACTGGAGGCCTGGATTCTGGTCCTGGATCCTTCCCTCTCCAGACCCAGGGCTGCTCATCCATAGCCTGGGGCGTGGGGAGTGAGGACCCCTGCTGACACCAGAAGGGGCTTGGACCTCCAGGACTGCACAGGCCATGCTCTTGGCCAGGAGAGCAGTTGAGTCCCAGCTCTGAGACTCAACTCCCTAGGGGCTCCTGTCCACAGGTGTGTGGAGGGCACCTGCAGAGGGCTGGCAGGGCCCAGTCTGGGGGAGGTGGCTGAGTGCGCAGGAGGCAGGAGTGCAGGGGGGCCTGGAGTGAGGGCGCATCTGCAGACGGGAGCTGGTAACAGAGTGCCACCTTGGCATCCCATCAGAGCTGTGCCAGGTCTTGGGTGGAATTTTTTATAATGAGTGTTACAGAAGAATGAAAAAGAAACCACACCTGGTGGTTAGGGCTCGAGACCCCATCCCAGCTCTGGCCCTTCCCATCTGTCCTGGGTGCCCATCAGGGTGCGTGCAGGGACTGAGGGGTGGTGTGGATGCAGGCTGTCCATTCTGCAGACCAGGGGCCGAGACTGACCTGCTGTCAGTGCTGTCCTGAGAGCATGGAGGCTGGACCGGGACTCAGCAGCCCCTGCCACGTGCTCACAGTGGTCTGAGGGGCTGGCAGGGGCGGGGCCAGACAGGGCAGGATCTGAGATGAGTGCCTGCCCAGGGCTGAAGGTGCCCTCTGCTGGCAGGTCTCTGAGGATCGGCCTACAGATCTCCCTGGACTACTGGTGGTGCACAAACGTCATCCTGCGAGGGGTGGAAGAGGTTTGTCCCCGCCACCTGGGCCATAGCTGAACCTGTCTGCACTCTGCAGGGGGGTGGGGGGAGGGCTGGAGGAAGCGGGGCGACTGAGGAGGCACACACCTGTCCCCATCCCTTCCCTCTATGCCTGTGGTCAGAACAGCCCGGGGTATTTGGAGGTCATGTCTGCGTGTCACCAGCGGGCAGCCGATGCGCTGGTGGCCGGGGCCATCAGCAACGGTGGCCTCTACGTGAAGCTGGGCCAGGGGCTGTGCTCCTTCAACCACTTGCTGCCCCCCGAGTACGTCAGGACGCTGCGCGTGCTGGAGGACAGAGCTCTCACACGTGGCTTCCAGGAGGTGAGCCCTGCTGAGGCTGGGAGGTGGGGGCTCTGGCAGTGGCCCCCACGCTTCTCCAAGAACCCTCTCCTGCCAGGTGGACCAGCTGTTCCTTGAAGACTTCCAGGCCCCACCCCACAAGCTGTTCCAGGAGTTCGACTACCAGCCGATTGCCGCTGCGAGCCTGGCCCAGGTACACCGAGCCAAGCTGCATGACGGCACTGCCGTGGCCGTGAAGGTACGTGGGGGGCCTGCCTGGCACTGCAGTGGGCTCAGGCCGTGGCAGCGGCTGCAGGCCCTCCCTGCACCCTCACCTCACACAGGTGCAGTACATTGACCTGCGGGACCGCTTTGACGGGGACATCCACACCCTGGAGCTCCTGCTCCGGCTCATCGAGTTCATGCACCCCAGCTTCGGCTTCAGCTGGGTCCTGCAGGTAACCGCTGCCCACAGGCAGGCTGCAGTGAGCAGCATCCTGCACATACTGGGGGCGGGTTGGCCCCTGACCTGGACACTTGACTGCCTGTGTGGCCCCCAGGACCTGAAGGGGACGCTGGCCCAGGAGCTGGACTTCGAGAACGAGGGCCGAAATGCTGAGCGCTGTGCACGGGAGCTGCAGCACTTCCGGCACATCGTGGTGCCCCGTGTGCACTGGGACACGTCCAGCAAGGTGGGCTGGGCCCCCTCCTGGGTAGGGCTGCCCAGGCCTGCTAAGTTCAGCCTCTTGCTCTCTCCCAGCGCGTGCTTACTGCTGAATTCTGTGAGGGCTGCAAGGTCAACGATGTGGAGGCCATCAAGACTATGGGGCTCGCAGTGCAGGATGTGAGTGGGCCATGTGCACGGGGCATGGGGACGAGGGAGAGGTGAGTGGGCCGTGTGCACAGGGTGATGCAGCGTGGTCCTGTTCGCTCCTCAGATAGCAGAGAAGTTGATCCAGGCTTTTGCTGAGCAGATATTTTACACGGGCTTTATCCACTCTGACCCCCACCCTGGCAATGGTAGGAAAAGCCCCAGGGGGTGGAGGTCAGGGGTGGGAACTGGGGGAGTGGTGATATAACCCTGAGTGCCATGTACCCAGTTCTGGTGCGGAAAGGCCCGGATGGGAAGGCACAGCTGGTGCTGCTGGACCACGGGCTGTATCAATTCCTGGATGAGAAGTAAGCTGGGAACCCAGGGTCTGGGGTGGGTGCTCACCCTGGGGCTGGCCTTTCCTGCCCTGGTGCTCTGGGCTCACTGCTGGGCCCCCACAGGGACCGGTCAGCCCTGTGCCAGCTGTGGCGGGCCATCATTCTGAGGGATGACGCCGCGATGAAGGCGCACGCAGCCACACTTGGGGTGCAAGGTGAGGCTGGGGCATGCGGGTACACAGGCATGTAGGGCCCACAGCCCTGGCTCAGCCCACCCCCAGACTACTTCCTGTTCTCTGAGGTGCTCATGCAGCGGCCTGTGCGCCTGGGGCAGCTGTGGCGGTCGCACCTACTGAGCCGTGAGGAGGCGGCCTACATGCAGGACATGGCGCGGGAGCACTTCGAGGACATCATGGGCGTGCTCAAGGCGCTGCCTCGGCCCATGCTGCTCGTGCTGCGCAACATCAACACTGTGCGCGCCATCAACACCACCCTTGGCGCCCCCGTCGACCGCTACTTCCTCATGGCCAAGAGGTGGGTGCTGTGGGGCGCCTGGGGGGTGAGGAGGGCGGGCAGGGCTGGGCCAGGCTGACTGTGTCTCCCTGCAGTGCGGTCAGGGGCTGGAGCCGCTTGGTGGGAGGCACAGCATACCAGAAGGTCTGTGGTGCCAGGCTCCTTCGCCAGGTCAAGGTCATCTGGGAGACGTTCAAGTTTGAAGTGGCCCTGAGGCAAGTGGACAGGAGGGGGCCAGCGGGTGGGGGACCAGGGCCTGCTGCCCACCAACCTGCGACCCCTTCACCCACCCCAGGCTGGAGACCCTGTCGATGCGGCTCACCGCCCTCCTGGTTCGAGTCCTGGTCCACCTGGGCCTCATGCCGAAGCCCGAGGGGCTCTATGAGTTCCTGGAGACCTAGGGAGCCCAGGGCAGGAAGACCGCAAAGCCTGCCCAGGGCCAGCAGTGCGCCCAGCCTCAGGCCGATGGAGCTGGCCAGGGCTGGAGGTGTGGACGCCATAAAACCTGGGGCATTGAAGCAACCGTGTCCTGAAGTGGGGGGCTGTGGGGCTCTGACCACGACTAAGGCAGGAGGCCCTGCAATGACCACATGTTCCTCTCAAATCAAACAAATCTTTTTCCTCATGTTTTGTACAAAAGGGGCGTGGGGGCAGCGTCCAGGGTCTAGAAGTGGGCGGTGACACGATCTGTTTCCAACAGGTCATCCAGGATCTGTGGGGAGAGGGAGTGGGGTAAGAGCGGGGTGGGCTGAGGGTGGGTGAGGGCAGGGTGAGGCTGTGGCTGGCTCACGATGTCGGGCGTGGTGCCGATCTTCTTGGCCAGCTCGCCGCGCTCCATGGTGCTCAGGTACAGGTAGCGGTTGAGCAGCTCCCCATCCAGGACGTTACGCACAGCGTTCTGTAGGATGCGCCGGTCCACGTGCAGCATCCTGGGGGAGGTGTGTGGGCAGTGGGGAGTCAGGATAGACCAGGGGTGGGGGGAAGCAGGAGGGGTGGTGGCAGACTGGTGGGACAGTCACCGGAAGGCACGGGGGTTGAGGCCGGCGTGGTGGGGCAGCATGGTGGTCAGTGCGTTCTGCAGCATTAGCAGCCGCCGGTAGGTCTTCTCCTGCATGGGCAGCAGGAGCCCAATGCCGCCGTCCAGTGTGGCTGTGGGGAACAGTGTGAGCCTGACCGACCCCTCACCACACCCCGGCCTGTTCCTCCCTGGCCCCATCCTCCCTGGCACTCACCGAACCACGTGATGTGCTTGTTCTCCCACACAACTGACTTCTTGCTGGGCCCCTCGGCAGCCCCCCGGCATGGAGTCCTCCAGAAGGTGTTCACGTGGGCACCCACATGGAAGTCCGCCCGGCGCAGCAGGCGCATACCCCCGAAGCTCTCCTTGGCTGGGCCAGAAGGACCTCAGGTCACTGCCCGCCCAGCCTCCCGCCCAGCAGAGGGGAGGAGGGAGCACTCACCTTCCGGCAGGTACATGTACACCATGAGGTTGCGGTCGCGGTCAGACACTGGGGAACAGAGCCCAGAGTCAGCCCCAGCCATCCCCAAAGTCTCAGGCACCCTAGCCCTCAGACCTTGCACTCACCCAGGAAGCCCAGCTGGGCGTTGTCCACCATGAAGTCCACGCTGTACACTTCTAGGGGTTTGGCATCCTGGGGAGAGGGAGGGAAGGGACTTCAGGGTCAGCCCTGGAGCCAGCACCCACGCCACACACACCGCTCAGGCCCCTCCGGGTACCCGGGACACGAGGCTCAGCGTCTTGCTCTCCTCCTGGTAGCGCAGCAGTGAGATGCTCTTCATGACGTCCGCAGCCAGGATGAAGTTCTTGACGCTGATCATCTGGTGGATGTAGAGCTGGGTGTCGATGAAAGCCATGCCCGTCAGCTCACTGGCCCGTAGGCTCCACAGGAAGATCTAGGGGGAGGGGGTGGGCAGTGAGTGGTGGGCAGCAGGCTGACGCAGGGCAGGGCGGGGGGAGCAGGGGCACACCTTCTGGCCAATGGCCGACACCAGGTGGCCATTGCAATGGCACAGCGCAGTCACGGGGCCCTTCTGTTCCTTCTCATACAGGACCTTGAACTTGTTCTTGGTCAGGGGCTGGCCAGGCTCGGGCACCACCTCAATCACGTCCATGATCAGAATCTGCCAGGGGTGGGGAGCGAAATGTGGGGACAGCACAGGGGATGCTGGGCACTGCCTGCCACCACCCCCAGCCCCTTACCCGCCCGCGGCACGTGACCTCCTCCCCCTGCATGAGGCAAGTCCCAGCGGCCACGTAGCCCTTGAGGCCTGACACGGTCTCCTCACTGCGCAGCGACACTGTCTTCATGCACGTCACATGCTCCCACTCCTCCAGCTCGATCCTGCATGAGGCTGGGTCAGGATACAACCCTGGGCCAGCTGCCAGCCCCCGCCCAGGCACAACCTCACCTGGCGTTGGGGATGGCTTCCCAGCTGACTGGGGAGATGAGCTGGATGGAGAAGGCCTCCTGCTGGGGGTGGATGTACCGGTCATCTGCAGGGACAAAGGGGTGACAGTCAGGGTGGGGGAGCCCCAAGAACAGGCCCAGCTCTGGGCGTCTCGCACCTCTCTCGATGGTCTCAAACTCCTTCTCCTCGCCCGTCATGCGCGGGATGCGCGTGCATGGTGTGTTGGTGCTGGTGGCGACAGCATACACCTGGGGGAGTGGAGGGTGTCACATGCCAGAGGCCAGGCCCAGAAGGGCCCCGGCCTTGGTGGAGGGGTCAGACCTTGGACTCCACGTGGTAAGCCACATAGTGGGCTGTACAGCGCAGGGGGATCTTCCTGACAGGCCACGGGGCATCGTAGGACAAGTAGGCAGGCAGGACGCTGATCCTCAGCTCGCCCTAGGGGCAGGGGGGAGGGGCTCAGTGAGGCCTGGCATCAGGGAAGACAGGTGACCCAGGCCTCCAAGGGCTCCCTGGGATGAGCTCTCAGCTCTGTTGGAGTGGGGTGGGCAAGGGGCTGCTGTGTCCACGTGAGGCCTGAGAGAGGCCGCAGCTTGCTATCCTGTGCTTTGTGGGCTTCCGGGCCCTTCTCCCAGGCTCGCCCAGGGCTGGGACGCTGGCCACAGCTGTGGTCTGGGCCAGGGCAAGGCAGGGCCAGGCCTGGATGGCGTTGGGAGCTGCAGGCAAACGGCTGCCCACACACGGGCCACACCAGGCTCTGACAAACAGGCAAGGGAGCCCCTGCCAGAGCCCAGAGTGATCTCCTTCACCTGTAGTCCTAAGGGCGTGAGCACCTGCAAAGCACTTGCCACACCATCACTGAGTCCTCAGAGTGGCCCAGGGGGTCACTGCTCTTATCTTGATGTCAAGGAAGAGAAAATTGAGGCTCAGATCAGGTGAGAGCCTCACCTAGAGTCACACAGTGCCTAAGGGGCAGAGCTGGAGTTGAAGCCCACAGAGCAGTCACTGGACCCCAGCTGTCCAGGCAGGTGCCCTGGTGGGCTGCAGCCTCCACTCCCAACTGCCCCGTCCTCAAACCTCCCCCCAGTGTGAAGCCCCAGGTTTCACCTCCTTGGCCTTGACCCCCCTACCCTCTATTTACCCCCAATCCTCTACGTGCAGCCCAGGGTTCCCCCTGTCCCCAGCCATCGAAGGCCTCCCATCCGGGGCCCCAGCACCTGGTCCTGCCTCCGGCAGCACTGACAAGTGTCAGAGGGAACCAGGCTGGGGCCACGTGAGGCTCCACCAGCCCTGGGGCCTCCCTACCTGTCTGTTGAAGTACAGGAAGCCTCGGGGGCAGTTAACATTGTGGAATGGAGCAAAGGAGTCAATGGGGCCATCAATGCCCATGGGGTGCAGCCGCAGGGCCCCTCGGCCGGTCACCAGGAGCCAGTGGGGTGAGGGGCCACAGATGAATACCTGGGGGAGGGCACCATGAAGAGGCTGCTGGGAACAGGCCCCATCTGCCCCCCTCTGGACTCCCGTCAAGCCACCAGCCTACCCCCGAGTAGCCATAAATGTCCTCAAAGTAGCGGAACCGCGCCACGCGGCCGCGGGCCCCAACACCCTCCTCGGCGCCGCCGCCTTCTGCCTTCTTCTTGGACGGCTTTGGCTTCTTCTCACGGAAGTTGATGTTGTGGGGGACCTGGGGCAGGGGCTGCCGTCAGGGCCAGATTCTCCCCTGCCCCTCCCTCAGCCCCGCCCAGCTCGGCTCGGCCCGGCCCGGCCCCGGCACCTTCTTAAAGCGGACTTTGAGGTTCCCCTGGCCGAGCTGCGAGTCGTGGGGGAAGGCCTCGTAGATGAGCAGCTCCTGGTCCACGTGCACCTGGGGGGCAGCGTGGGGTCGTCAGGGAGGTGGCTGCAGTGTGTGGCCACGGGGGGCAGGGAGGGGTCAGTGAGGGGTGGCCACTGGCCTGTGCTCACCAGCAGGTAAGGCCTGCTCTGGCGGCTCCCCAGTGCCACCAGCAGCACCTCCTTGACGAGGGGCAGCTCGCCCTGGCGCGTGGCCTCCTCCTTTCGGGCCTCGCCCTGTGTGGTCGGCTGACCGAAGGAACTGTCTACCAGGACCCGCTGCCCCACGGGAAAGTTCTTCACCAAGAACACCAGCCGCCAGTCAGGGAGCTGGTAGATCTGTGGGGGGAGTGGGGTTAGCAGGGGCAGGTGGGGTTGGGGGCAGGAAGCTGCGCTGGGCACAGGGCGCCACCCACCTCCATGGTTCCGTTCTCCCGCACCAGCAGACACCAGTGGGTGGGGTCGGCCCGGAAGGGGGTGGGGTCCCGGTCTGCAGGGGGCTGGCTGCTCCTGCGGGCCTCCTCCTTGCTGGGGCTGAAGAGGGAGCCCGAGTCCCCGTACAGCATCTCCTCCTCATCATCCACTGTGGGGCTGGGGGCCGGCAGACTCGTCACAGGCAGCCTGCCGCAGAAGCCCAGCCCTGGCCTGCACCCCGGCCCTCCACGCACCTGGTCTCCGAGCCCTGGCCCTCCGCCTCCAAGCCACTGCGGCCCCCCAGCTCATCGCGGGCCCCTCCCAGGCGGCTCTCGGTGGTGAACATGCCGCTGACATCACGGTACACGCAGAGCGTGATCACCTTGGACTGCTGCAGGGACGGGGGCAGGGGTCAGTAGTGGGCACGGACAACGACCCCAGGCCCCAGGGATGGAGGAGGGGGCCTACGTGGTGCAGCGGGGGTTTGTGCAGCGCCAGGCGGTGGTGGCGGCCCCCATATGAGTCGCTCTTGAGCAGGAACATGGTGACATGGCCCTCAGCACTCATGATAACCACGTAGGGGTCGGCCACAGCACACTGCACGATGGGGGAACCCAGGTCCACGGGGATGAAGTGCAGCTGGTTCACTGAGGGCACAGGACGGTCAGCACAGGGTAATCAGCATGTACCACCCGCGGACACCGGCTCTCCCGCCCAGCCCACCTCCTTCCAACAGGCGGATGCCGAGCGGCGACACTTGCACGATGTAGCGATTGTCACCGATATTGCCAGCAAAGACTGTGGGGCCCTGCGTGGCAAAGCCACTGGTGTCCAGCTCCATGAT